GTGAATTTATTAAATCACTCTCACAAGTATGTTGATGGTATAGTCGTCAAATGGGACTTGATGAAAAAGTCCAACAAGAAGGTGACACAATGCTTCCGTTGCCAACAATGGGGGCACTCATCAATCAATTGTGGTCTTCCTGCTCGTTGTGTGAAGTGTTCCGAAACACACGACAAAGGTTCTTGTCCAAGAACTTCACGTGAAGGTGATCCTACATGCTGCAATTGTGGAGATCCTCACACATCCAACCATCGAGGGTGTCCTGCTTACAAGAAGCACCTGGAGAAGCTTAAAGCTCGCATTAAGAAACCTCCAGCTATTGACGTTCATCGCAGTCCAGCGCCTCTGAATTCATCGATTCATTTTCCGCAACTCAGCACTCAGCAAGTTCCAGCATCAAGCAGCAGCACTTTCAGTCCGTCACAATCGGTAAGTTTTGCTCGAACACTTAGTGAATCTAGTAACATTAATCATAACAGCAATATTTTCACAAAGCTCTCATTGGCCCAAGCCAAGCTTAACTCACTGCCGAATATCAATCAAACAATTGATATTTTTGTGAAGATGGTCGATGAGCTCAGTGCTTGCAACGACCAAAAGGGTCAGCTCGCTATCTTACTTAAATTCAGCACGTCATTTTCTTTAACCAACAATGGGTCTTAAAGTCATTTGTTGGAACTCACACTCATTACGGAATAAATTTACTGAACTATCAATTCTTATCGATAGACTTTCTATCGACATCATTTTAATCTCTGAATCATGACTCACGGAAGATATGTCTTTTAATTTCCCTGGTTATAGTACCTATAGATCTGATAGACTCCGTGGTGGAGTAGCTATATTTATTCGATCCTCGATTCCTCATTTTGGGTTCACAAAAGTTCACATGGATTATGCCGAGTCGTGCACAGTATCGATTAATATTGACAACTTGGCAGTAAAACTCTCATCCATCTACTGCTCTCCATCTGCTTCGCGTGCTCAATCTAAAGCTTTTTTTCAAAGAGTTTTGTCACAAACTGGTCCACATGTCGTTGCTGGAGACTATAATTGCAAGCATATAGAATGGAATAATTCTGCAAGCGACCGAAAAGGTTCTGACTTATTGAATTTGGTAAACGATCTGAACTACATAATTTCCAAGCCCAATGAGCCCACTCTGTACCCGTACAATGGTAATCCCTCAATTGTCGATTTCGTAGTTGCAAAAAATTTTGCTTCTCTGAGCAGTATCAAGGTATTAAACGAGCTTTCATCAGATCATCTCCCATTACTCTTCACTATGCATGGTGATACTTTCCGTCAGCAGTATGATCATCTGAATCTTCTCAAAGTCAATTGGCCTAAATTTCGTCAACTAGTTGAGTCTAATTGTCACACTCTACATTCTGCCAACTTATCGTCACATAGCTCGATTGATTCCACTGTAGACTCAATTTCTGCGATAATTTCTTCTGCTTTAAACTCATCAGCGCCTAGGAAAAAGACCTTTCTCCTTCGTTACAAATATTCACACGCTATCAATACTTTAGTCAGAAATAGGAATCATTATCGTAATTTATACAAACGCTCACGAGATCCAGCAATTAAATCATCAGTAAATTTGCTAAACAGAATGATTAGGTAGCAAGTCGCTCTCGAGAAGAAGTCAGCTCTTGAGGACAAACTTAGTTCTTTATCGTTCAAGGACAATTCACTGTTTCGCTTTGCTAAGTCCCTCAAGAGGAAGAATTGTTCTATTCCTCCCCTTACTGACAGTACAGGCACCTCTTATTCAGATGAAGACAAGGCGAATGCTTTTGCAAGATCTTTTCAAACTTCATTCAATGTCACACAGAACTCCTATTCCAAATTTGACGATGAAGTAAGCACTTCTATTCAATCACTCACAGCACCAAACCTTTCCCCAGATGATATGATTTCTGATGGTGAAGTCAAATTTGTCATGCGAGCTTTGAATCCTCGTAAAGCTCGAGGTCATGACAAAATTCCAAATTGTGCTCTTAAAGTTCTTAGCGATTCTCCACAATTCGTTTACTTATGCTCAAATCTGTTTAATTCCTGTTTAAGGCTATCCTATTTTCCAAAGAGTTGGAAAATCGCCAAGATTATGCCTATTTCCAAAGGAAAACCAAACTCTAAATCTCCTGATGACTTCCGCCCTATCTCTCTACTTTCATGTCTTGGAAAATGCTTTGAAAAAATTATTCTGACCAGACTAAACGACTTTGAGCTTGAAAATAACATTTTCATCAGGCAGCAGTGCGGATTTAGACCTCAACATTCCACAATCCATCAGGTTCTGCGAATATCAGAGAATATTTCATTTGGCTTTAACAAAAACAAGAGTACCGGAATGGTAATGTTGGACCTACGCAAAGCATTCGACAGTGTGTGGCACAACGGATTGATTCACAAGCTCATTCAGCATAACTACCCACAGTATCTCATTAAACTATTGCAGTCTTTTCTTCACGATCGTACTGCGTTTGTCACATGTCAATCGGCTTACTCAATAGTTTTTAAGGTCACTTCTGGAGTCCCACAAGGCTCGCTTCTTTCACCACATCTCTTTAATTTATTTTTAAATGACATCCCAATCCCTACGAAAGGTCATTTGTCGCTCTATGCTGACGACACAGCATATTTTGTGCAGTATCCGTGGAAAAACCTGAGATCAATCAAGTCAGAACTGATCAAAACAGCGAGCCACCTTCAAAATTATTTCCACGACTGGAAAATTAAATTGAACGAGTCTAAAACAGAATTTACTGTCTTTACTAAATCCACCAAAATGATTCAGAAGCTCAACAATGACACATTAGTCTTTAATGGTGAGACTTTCAGTTGGAAAGACTCAGTCAAGTATCTCGGTGTTGTCCTCGACAGAAAGCTGAGTTTTAAGCATCACATCGAGTACTCTATCAGCAAAGCCAGTGCTGTCAGTTTCTCCAGTCTTTACTGCTTACTAAGTAGAAATTCTCATGTTTCTATTGATTCCAAATGGAGAGTTTACAAGTCATACATCAGACCAATCATAACATATGCTTGTCCTATTTTTGCAAATGCAGCAGCCTGTCACCTGAAGAAGCTACAACTATTCCAAAACAAAATTCTCCGAATGATATCTGACATTCGTTGATACGATTTCAAGCCACTCAGTGAGATCCATGATTCAGCAAAAATTCCATTAATTTCAAGCTTTATCTCGCGCTTAACTGCTAATTTTTATTCCAAAATAGTTCACCATCCAAATGACCTCTTCTCATCACTTAATCAGTACGACTATGATTCACTTAGTTTTCGAGCAAAACATAAACTACCGAAACCCATACATTAAGTCTGTTCTGCCATCCTTAGTTATATAAAAAAAATTTTTTTTTTTTTTTGTTTTTTTTGTTTTTTCTCACTTGGTCTTTTTTTTTGTAATTTTTTGACCACACGATCAAGTCATCTTTCCATCTAACTTCATGCTATTAATTTTATTCCCTTCATTGTAACTGTGATTTAAAACCGAAAAGGTTAACATCATATCAAACTTATTTTTGTTCCGCCTTACCATTATGTAATTAAATAAAGGATTATATTATTATATATAGCTTCTTGCTTTACATATAGTCCACATCTAGCAGCTTCCTTGTTCTCTAATTTTCTGTTGATATGTTTTCTATTTTTATCATTCTCCTGATAATTGTGAATTCCATCATCTTGTACTGTCCTTTTCTGAAGTCTCACTGAGAAGAACGGTCTCTCTTCGATTTCAAAAGCAGCAATATCTCCTTGTTGGCTGCTTCCGAAAAGATGAGCTGTATTTTTTGGATGTTGGAGTTGTTGCTCAATGTTTCTCTCTTTTATCTTTATTTGTCTCTATAATTTTTCAACTTTTTCAGGATATTCGCATGCCCACAGAGTCTTTGATTGAGTTTCTAAATGATCAATCCCTTTTTTCAAAACTATTTGAATATTCTTTTGCTTTCTTTAAACTTCTTTTGCTGTTTTTTTTTTAAACTTTAATCTGTTTTTGCTGTTGACTAAATTGACTTTCCATTTCATTGATTTCTGTCTGTGTTCCTGTTAAAGATTACTCATGATTTGTATAAAGTTTATTTATATCTTCGAAGCTGTTCTTTTAGGTTTGGTACTGCGTTTTGCTTGATTCTGTGTTGGCAATTTGTTTCCCACATCAATCGATTGTTTAACTGTCTCGTTCATATTACATCCATCTGCTTTTGTTTCACGCATTTTCTTATCGATGATTTCGACCTGTTGTTTTCATTATTAATATGCTGTAATTTTTGTTTCATTAAAGCACGTAAATTGGTTTACCTTTATTTCTGATTCCACGTCACTTGTAAGTTTCTTTCAGCGTAAAACGATGCAGCTGCTTTCTCTTATCCTGAAATTGTTTTTCTTCTTTAAGCATTTGATCTGATGACTGAAGTTCCTCGATCTTTCGTATCACCTTTGTTTAAAGCTATAATCATAATTCTTCAACTTTTTGAATGTTTGACTTTTCAGATGATTATCCCAAATTGGCAAGTTCTGGTGATACATCTTCTGCTTTTTTTTTTTATTTGGTAATCTATCTTACAATTGCACCACAGCTGCTTTCAATTAATCCATCTGAAATTAAAAAATTTAAGGAATTGGTAACTTACTTTTAAATTTTCATCCTGTTTCCTTTTGCTAGTCAATCTTGTTGTGGATCACTAAAGAACTTGGACGTTGAACAGTTTGTTTTTGTTGTGTGGAAGTTGACAGTACTTACGTTGAAGTCCGAGAAATTGGGGTATCTATTTATCCTTTTGTAAAGTTCTTCTTAAGGTCTTCAATCACGTTATTCGTCTCAGATAGCTCACTTCCTTGGATCTGGAACTTGTCATCATCTGTTGAGTGCATATGTTGAGTAAAATGATCTTTTAAAGCACTCATTTTGTTCTTAATCACACTATTTCTTCATTATGTTTTTATTTATTTATACTTCCGATGTCTTCTTTTTATCTTTCAGTGTCTGATTCTAACTCGGCATTCGTTCTCATTAAGTTATCCATCATTAACTGCATTTCGTGAGTATTTTTCTGTAATTTGCAAATATTTAAATTAGAATTTAACATTTCCTTTAAAATATTAAAATATATTTCTCAATATTAGTTTCGTAATTCTTACCTGTAACTTTATTTTGTCATTATCAAGTTCTTGAATCTTTCCAGACTGCATTTTTAACTCTATATTTGTCATCAGCTGTGATTCTCTCAATTTATAAAGTTCATCATTTGCAAGCTTTGATATATCTTCGGTCTTCATTGTGATCTTTTGCTATCAAAAAAGTCTGCTACTGTTACATTTAATACCGAGGCATCTTGTAATCGTCTGATCGCACGTCCAGCACATCTCAAGCAATTTAAATCACTATAAGGCAATAATATTACAAGGAAGAATTACAAGGAACAATGACATAACTACTTTGATTCAGCGTCTGTAGCACAAAGCTTTTACAAATGCTCATGAGTCAGTGAAAAAAAATTGAACATAATTTAATTAAGAGCCAACAGAAAATTAATGAAAAGTCTGTAGCTAGTTGAAAGATACTTAATGAAAATATCAAGAGAGCAATCGTTACACCGATTGACAAGACAGGAAGAAAATCGGTTAAAAAGTTTTATGAATGGACATTCGAATATTATTTCCAAGCATCCATATGGATACAGAAAGAAAATCTCCTTCTCACCTTAGCTAAAAGAGATGATGATTAAACAATCTTTGGTCTTGAGACCTCTTCAACGAACATACAGCAGGTGGTAAGGATCAATGTCATCATCAGTTCTTTGGTAAGTTTCACTATAGATGTGACGCAATTCTGCTCTTTGAAGATTGCTCTTTCTGCTTTTGACCAATGACAATGGCAATGGCAATGGAGTATTCCTGATCTAGATTTAAATTGAAAGTTGTTTCTTCTCGCTCACGACAGTGTTTTTTTCATATTAGTTTCCAGAATTATTTAAATGATTCCTTATTTCTTTGCTTTCGCTGCATTAGGTCATAAGCTTCAATTTATTCTTCATAATTTTCTTTTATGCTTCAGACTGCCCTTGCTTATCAATTAACTCAGCAGCTTTCGTACCATTTTTTTCAACCATCACTTATTTTTTTGAACATCACTCTTCATTTTTAATTCGTTCTTATTTAGATAACAATCAAATTTTCTTTTAAATCGTTTGACTGAACACTTATGTCTTTTGGTTTAAACAATTCATAATTTTTTCACTGTGCAATGTGGTTTCTTAAATAAATTTTCGCTTTTCAATGATTGTTGCGATCTATTTACAATATTACAAGTTTAGAATGAAATTAGCACATGGTGATACTGAATTGGAAAATCTGCGAGCACAAAGTGAAAATATAGCACCAGATCATGATACTGAGGTTCTCATACTCGTCAACAAACTTCTGATGAGGAAGCTATGATCTCACAAGTAAGTCAGAATCAAAACGAAAATTAAGTCATATTAAAAAATAAAAATTTCAAATTAAAAGAAGCAGTGCTTATCGAAAAAGAAATTGAGCTTCCAAAAAGGCAATTTAGCTACAAATGAAGATAGTTTTTGACGTTCCTGTTCATTCGGTGCTTGTGAATAGTTTGTGGCTTCAACCATGAAAAGCTTTAAATCAGCGCGAACATGAATGAAAGTTATCTTTAAGGCTTAAAACTTTTTCTTGGAATTCAAGGATTTGATCATTTGCTTTCCCTTGATCTTTTTGTGTGTTTTCTATTCAGATTCAGATTTCATCAATTTATGCATGTTTTTCTTCTAAAGCTTATTCATGAGTTTTTTGTAGGGTGACCAAATTTGGCATTTGCCATATACTTTACAAGAGCACATAGAAATCACTTTTATAAGCTCGATTCAAATTCGTATGTGATTGAACGCAGGACCTTTGGCACAGAAGGTCGATATTCCCTCATTTTTGTTTTAGTATCCATTATTTGTTGGCGTAAATGCTGGATTAATTGAAATTCCTGCTGGACATGGTTGGTGCAGAACTTGAAGCTGGCGATGATTCTTGTTTAGTAATTGTTTGCTGAGACGGTCTGAGAATTCCCTTATCGATAACTTGGGCAAATTTGACTCAATCTATAGCTTATTTCCAGTTGCTTATTTTTTCAAGTCATAAAATTGGATTACATTTAGTCTCTTCTTCATGCGCTTGAAAGTATGACTCCATCCATTTTGCTTATCGTTCATTTATCGCCAAATTAAGACCAGACATTTTTTGCGGTAATTTTTCACCAAAATATAAGTTTTCTAAGTTCCAAAAAAAAATTTGAGCAGGACGGTGGGGCATTTTCTCCTTTAATACACATGAAAATCCTAAAACTGAAATAAATAAAAAATATTATTTAAGCTCGACTAAAGTTGATTCATTGTTATTTTAACACGACTCTGATGACCTTTTCGGTTCTGAAAATTTGGTGAGAGGCTATTTGCTGATGAATCTGATGACTGTCGAACTTTTTGCTGCAACGATCCCTCATTTTCGTTTTGTATATCCATTATTTGTTGACATGAATGCTAGAATGTTTAATTTTTGATATTTATTATGTTTCGTTCATTATATTATTCTAGTTCTTATTACAGTTCATTCGTTTCTTGCACAGAAATTTGTCTATCGCGATGAATGTCCTTGTCCCGGCTAACGAAGCTTGCTGCAAATTATTCTAGAGAAGAAAAAAGAAAAAAACTAAACACAAGCAAAAAAAACCTGATCCACCCGATTCCTCGCTCTCCTCTTTCAGTTGTTGTCAAATTCTCCAGCTCCTTCTTGATTGCTGTCAGGTTCTTGCAGGGTTCTTCAGATGCTCCTTGGAATGTGTTTGGATGATGTGATGGATCTATATTAAGAATTTCTTACTTTATTTATCAGTATATTTTTATTAAGGACATGACTTACTGCAACTACTGCAATTATTGAGTACGTAAAGTTCGCAAAATCTTCTTAATTTTATAATTATCTGCTTCTCTTTCACGCCATTTCTTACTGATGATTTCGTCCTTTTGAATTGAATAATTAAAATGCTACGCGTGTTTTTCATCAATGCATGTAAGTTCATTTACCTTTGCTTCCAGTTCTCTTTGAAGTGAAAGTTTTTTTTTGCAGAATTTGAAAAGTTTTGGTGCTTGCTGAATTCTCATCATAATTGACTTGCATATCATTTGTTTACATAGCTTCTTGCTTTACATATAGTCCACATGTAGCAGCTTCCTCGTTCTCTAATTTTCTGTTGATATTTTTTCAATTTTTATCATTCTCCTGATAATTGTGGAATCCATCATCTTGTACTGTCCTTTTCTGAAGTCTCACTGAGAAGAACGGTATCTTTTCGATTTCAAAAGCATCAATATCTCCTTGTTGGCTGCTTTCAAAAAGATAAGCTGTAGTTTTTGGATGCTTGAGTTGTTGCTCAATGTTTCTGTCTTTTATCTTTATTTGACTTTCTAATTTTTCAACTTTTTCAGGATATTCGCATGCCCACAGAGTCTTTGATTGAGTTTCTAAATGATCAATCCCTTTTTTCAAAACTATTTGAATATTCTTTTGCTTTCTTTAAACTTCTTTTGCTGTTTTTTTTTAAACTTTAATCTGTTTTTAAATATCAACATCATTTAATATTTTTTTTTGAATATCAATTTTTGAGTTTAAGGATTGGAGTGTAATAAATAATTTTTATAGTTTTATGTGTTTAAATTAATTAAATTAAATAAAATTACGCACGCATTGAATAAAAATAGTATTGATGGCTAGGAATTGCCTGGAGGATAATTGAAATAGCACTTTATCGTAGACTAATTAACAAAATTGTAAACCAAGAAATTTCTCTGTGGAAAATAAATAAAAAGTTCTTTAATTCAATACATTTCTTGATCTGAGCTTCCTGAATCAACTAAAGTCTAAAGGAATCATCCCACTAAAGGCATCCTCTTATAATTCCATAAGGAATAAGGTCTTATTAGGTCATAAAATAATTAAAACATTATCTGTTGTCTGGAAATTGCGAGAACAAAAAAAACGACTAATACAACAACAATCACATTTTGTGTGGTGAGTTTCCTATATTAGTGGTGAATCTTGGTACATGTGAGAAATTTGAAGACTTTTTTAACGGAATTTTACATAAATCCATCCATAACATATTCTGTACTAACTTGTTGCCAAAACTAACTTTTTGTTAAAATAATAATGGGAGATACAGAAAATGAGGGGTTTTCCAAAAAACCATTGCTTGAACGAACACCGAAACGTAGTAAGGGATTTAACCAAATGACACCAGCAAATTCAACACATGTGAGCGAAAAGAAAGTAAACAAAAGAGATCTTGAAGATATTACTCTAGCAGATCTCTTTCTCTTAATCGAATCAAAAAGTGAAAATCACTCAAAAAAGTTAGATGAACTGAGCATAAACTTAGGAAGCGAACTAGCTAATTTCAAAGCCGAAATAAAACAGGAAATGGACGGATCTCTTCAGAATATTAATAAGAAAATTGACATTGTCGAGGAAAAAGCAGATCAAGGTTTGCGTGTTGCAATGCAAAGTCAAGAATTATGTGTTAATTATATGAAACAAGCTCGTCTTGATCGTTGCATGGACATATCTGGACTGACATTTAATGATAAAATGGATTTAAAGTCTCTAGCGGTTAAAACAATTAGATCATTTAAGATTAAAATTGATGAAGCGGAAATAAAGAAAGTCAACTTAGTTGAAATCAAAAAACCTGTGATTAAAAAAATACTAACTGTAACGTTTGATGATGCTGACACAAAATTGAGAGTATTGCGCGAAAAAAGTAAAGTACAGTCACATAATGGCGTATTTTTCAATATGACCCTTACTCCATCAAATGGCTATTACTTGAGAAAGGCTAAATACCTGCTAAAGGGAATGAATATAAAGCCAAACTTCTATGATGGTGCTGTGCAAGTAAAATTTCCAACCGGAAATAAATTAATTATCCAAAGTGACGAGAACTTGAAGGAACTAAAAAAGTTTATTGATGAACAACCAGCAGCTACAAATAATGATGATCCTCACCCGATGGATGTTCCTGCTCAATAGCAATCAGTATATCCACCACCATCTATGCCAGAAAATGTCGAACCTAAAATAAAAAATATGTATTATAAATCTTTTACCAGCTTTCGTAATAAAATATCAAAACTTGAGCAATTTTCTATAATGCAAATAAACATTAGAGGAATTAATGATTATACAAAATTTGAAAAATTCAAACTTATGTTGTCGAC